CCAGGGAGCGGGCGCGGCCATGTCGCCGCCGCTTCCCCTCCCCGAAGCCATCCCTCCGGTTCTGCGCTCCGCTAAAACACACGAACTCTCCAAAATCGTCTTTAACAACCGAAGCCCCCGTTCGGTTCTTCCGATTTGGGTGGATTTCGAGGGCAAACCCCGTTGTTACCCGGTGCTGCAGCCTCGGACCGGGAGGATGATGCACAGTTACCGGGGTGGGTACCGGGTAAGGGGTGAGGGGAGCGGTGGGGTGGAGCAGGGGGGTGGACGGACCGTCCCTGGGCTTCCCCACGGGGTGAGGACCGGTAGCTCCGGGGAGCTGCGAGGGGGTTTCCGGGAAGGAAAAGCCGTTTTTCCGTGACCGGGTCTGTGGGTTCCGCTCGGCTCCGGAGCCGGGTGGAGGCTTTCCTCTCCTCCAGACTGTTGTAAGTACTCTGATAAAATAAGATTTGATTCTCTAGGAGAGTTGGGTTTTATTAATAAGTAGAAAATTGTAAAGCATAACATATACACTAAGATTGTTAGTTCTGAACTAGGTAATCGTGGAAACCTCACCAAGAAGAGGCTGTAAATGCCCAGGCCTGTTCTAATCATTAACTTACACTGTTCCTAACTCCAGTACTATCTTCATCATAGAAGACAAAGATACATTGCTGATTTATGGTAAAACCCCTCAAAACCCCTCATTAAAAAGCTCCATAACTGCTGCATTTCCACCTTCTTCTCTCCCAGGTCACCTCTGGCTGTTCCGGGACGCGGGGACGAACGACGGCCTCCTCGTCAACCAGCAGGAGCTGTTTGTAGCGGCTCCCGATGTGAATAAAGCAGATATCACACTGCCAGGTAAACCAGAACAGCGCTGCTGTGCTGCGGAAGCTGATGAACTTTGTACTCGATCTCTTTGGGCTTCGGTGTTGCGCTCTAGTGATCAAGTATGTGAATAATAAAATCTGCCTCGAGAATAGGAAGAGATTGTGAGGGTTTCTAGGTGGAGCTGTGTCATTGCACGATATTCATTAGAGGCATTGACAGACCTCTCGTTTTAAAGATGTCTGTGATGGGTTTCGTAGGGCGCCTCACGACAGGGAACGGGTTCTTTTCCTCTCTAGTGAGCCTAGCGTGTTGTGAACAGCACTGCTGCATGTTATTTCTGTGTTCATGTACTGTCTGTGTTGGAGGCAGCAGGTAACGAGAGCTCTTGTCACAAGGTCATGTGTGTGTGTGTTTGTTTTTAACCTCAGTGTTCACCCTGAAAGAGAGATGTCTCCAGGTTGTTCGCAGTCTGGTCAAACCAGTGGACTACAGGAAGCTGGACATTGTTCGATCGTTATATGAAGAGCTGGAAGATCATCCTGATATTAAGAAGGACCTTCAGCGGCTTTCTCTGGAGAGAAGTGAAATGTTGAGCAACGGAATTCTGGAATAACATCATTGCTCACTCCAGACTCTTTAAATAGCAAACCACTGAGTTTAAGCAGGGATAGTCACCGCGGAACACGCCAAGAGCTAACAGCTGTACTTTATGTTCTGAAGCATAAACTCAGTTCAATTGTATAACACTTGCTATGGTGGTAAGTCAGATCCAAAAGGCAGCAGCGTGTAGAAGCACACCGGCTTCCCGAGGCTTCAGTTCTGTTCTTTGTTGTGTGTATTGCAAACCAGTGACTCTAGAGGCCTTGTGTGGATGAAGCTCAGAGGTGTTTTATCTCGGAACACTGCATAGGGACGTAAGATCAGGTCATCTATTTGGAGAATATTCATACAGATTGACTTTTGTTGTATTAGAAAGTAAATTACACTGAGGATTAATTTAATCCAGATTCTAATGACTGTAAGTGGCAGACCAACACAGATTTTGCTTGAATAATCTGGTTTGGATGGAATTTCACTCTCACACTTAGCCTAGATTTGCCCTTGAGTCACAAAGCGTGGGGGGTGTTTGTGTACGTGAGGGTTTCCACCACCACCTTCCGAGGACCTGACCTGAAATGTTCTCTTGGTGGAAAGATGACATGTGTACATGCTTGGGGTTTTCTCTGCCTCTTACCTTTGCATTTATAAACCCATGTCATACCAGCTCTGAGGCTGACACATTTTTATACACATCATACCCTGAATGCCTTATTTGTCGTTCATGATTGGATTCTTGCCTAATTGATCTCGAGGTGATCCAACTTAGTCAGCTATCTAGGCTGGATCCTAGTTTTGGGACACCTTTCTGCTTCTCTGCAGCTGCTTCCCAGCTGCCTGTACCGGCATATCAGGTAGTGCTCACAGAAGGTAGATGCTCCAGGTCCTACCTTTTCCTTTCACAATGCAGTAGTCAGGTCGTAGTGGCAGGCCGTTTCGGGGAGGAGGGACCACTGGAGTTGCTGGTGTCTCCTAAGGAACAGAGAGCAGAGTGTGTCAGCTCAGTCAGGCCTATGGCTGGGTGCAGCTCACAGACAGATCTGTGCTTTATTCCTGGCTAGATGAGCAGAGGAGCTTTACCTGTATTCTGCTCCCCCTGTACCTCAGTTACAATGTGTATTTGTGTGAATGTACAAAGGTAATTCAAAGCAGCATTGCTTTTAGCAGATGCATTGTCCACCAAGTAACAGGTGTAGTGCTGTACCACGTCCCACGCAGGCTGGTGGGAGATTCTAGCAGGTTATTTCTGTGGCATACATTTCCTTCCAGAAGCACAGCTGCGAAACTGACTGAGAATATCAACGTGTTCTGTAAGTATGAAATGTCTCCCCTTTTTGTAGACTTGTGTTGCTTACATATTTTAATTGTATGAATTGATCTTTGTCATAAAATGTAAATCCACGCTAACTTTTTTACTCTAATTCTGTCAAATAACTTCACAGTGCCTGTGAGTATGTGCTTGTATTCCTGCAATACTCCTGGAAGTCGTTCTAGCTGATCAGTAACAGATACCTTTGGATTGAGTTTACAAACTGTTCCAGCCCGGCGTTGCTGCGGAACGGCGTTGTGGCAGCCTGACTGAGGGGTGTACACCCCGAGCAGGGAGCATCGGGTTGATACTCAGAGACTGTTCTATTGAAATTGCATAAAAATACACAAACAATTGTCAGGGTAGAGACCATCCTTCAACTGTGTGCTGTGACCTGCAGTCACCTATCTACACGGTCGCTCTACCACCTTCCCCTCATCAGTTTGTGTTTTAAACGTTAAACTGATTTGATTCTTTGGAAGACACTGTGCATTTACCCACAAAATCCCAAGCAGAAAGTGACGTTTCCCTGAATCCTTGAGGTACCTAAGTCCCAGGACAGGAATTTTACAATCCCTGCTTCAGTTCTTTAGCTTTAGCATTTCATTTCAGCACAGATGCTGTCCTGGCACAGCAGACGGAGGCCAGGCAGGGACTTTTGGATTCCACACCAGGGAGCCGTGTCTAAGTTAGGCTCTGTAACATCTGATTTTTAGTACCAAAGTATGTTATTTCGATCTAGCTTCACAACTTTATACTGTAATTTCATTCTCTCGGGAGCAGCTGACTGTTCTTTCCACAGCCACTAAGAGTAGGAAGTGCTTTATTTTCAAAATGATTGCCTCTTGCTTAATATATAGCAAGAGGTAATCCATGCTTGAAATCTTACACATTCCCTAGACAAGATAACAAAGGAAATTCTACTTTCATTTTGCAGATGAAATTGAGTTTTCCAAAGTTATGCAAGAAGTCTGGGAAAGGAAGGGACTGAATAGAGTCTGATGCAGCTGCATCCTCTGTGCCTCCCACAGCTGTTTTCTTGCAATGTGGATACATTTTCTTGTGATACGAATTCTGTAACTACCTATCTAATTCTAGCTCTGACATACCACCTAGGTGTTGATTTTCCTGTTGACAAATCATGAAATACCTTTTTTTTTTTCCCATGCATTTGGTTTAAAAACTTTGCAACTTCCTCTGCAAGATGAGAGACACTTAAAAACATCTCTGACAAACAGGTGACAGGGTTTTGTTTTTACAGACCACTGATCCTCTTGATGCAGTCTGACACTGCTGTTACAGGTCTTGCTGGTTCTGCTTTGTCTTTTTAATCAACAAAGCAGTGACTGTGAGCATATTAAATAACACTTTCATTTAGCTGCGCTAGTCATCAGAGTCCAGTTGTCAAATGTTCTAGACCCTACCACAGACTAGTTCAGTAACAACATCAGCCCAGCTGTGTATCTTATTTTTTTCACTTAGAGGCATTCCAGCATAAAAACAATTTGATTACATATTGTCGTTGGAATGCAATAGCTCATAATATTTCTCAAATCATTTGGTTTTCATCATTCAGCCAAACCCATGGGTTCAGTATTTATTCAGAGTGCAAGGCACTGACAGATGCAAGGAAGTAACTGACAGAAAAGCCTGTTCACTTGGAGTTGTTGAAGTGGGTGCATAAATGCCATACTAGGATTTTTGGGGTTGTTAAAGAACTCCTATTGATAAAATATGTTAAAAAAATAAACAACAAAAACAGATGTTATAGTTAGGTTAAGCTTCTGGAGAAATGCTGAACATATGCAAGAAAGTACATGTCTTCTGTTCTGGAGTGCTCCTTTGGGTCAGAATAAAAAAGCATTAGAGAAAAGCCCCAGCTGGAAAATGGAGCCTCCTACTAGTTACTCAGCTAGATTAGTAATGAGTGAAAGTTGTAATTTACTTGTGGCAACTACATTAAACATGTGAGCAGTTTTCAGTCGGAGTCAGAGCGCTGTCTCAGTTGACAGTCACCAGAGCAGCAGTGAGCTGAGCGAGAGGCCAGGACCAGACTGAACCTCCCAGCTCGACACGAGCGCGCTGCGGTGGGAACGTGCTGCTGCGGGAAGTGGCCTGTCACAGCTGAAGGTGACAGACACCAGAGAAATAACCAATTATTCCGACATTTGTTTAGTGTCTGAGGGCTCCAGGAGAGCACACGACAGGACAGAGTCCTGCCTAATACCCCGTTATTCACTGTTTGAAAGTGGAGGCTAAACAACAGGATCGTATAGGATCGTTCTGGTCTGCGTTTGAAAAAGTAAATTGGGTTACCTTGTAAAACCCCTCGTTACATCTCATGTTAGTGTGAAACTGAAGCAGTACCTACAGTTAGATGCATGGTTTTTCTCCTTGTTTTCCCATGAGGCAAATAGTCCAAAAGGTTTCACATGTTTTTCCTTACCCACGGAAAAGAAGTGTCCTTTCTTCCTGCTTTTATCTAATTTTTGCAACACAAATTTCAGTCTTGTCTTACATGACTTTCAGAGATGCTCTGATCATCTTCCCGTGACAGAGAATTTAGGTATGTGTGAGAAGGAAAAGGGAGCGAAAAAACCCATTGAAATAGTGCTACTGCTAAAACAGCCAGTCCCAAGGCAGTTTGTAAATTGTGATATTTTAACTGATAATACACTTTGGATATTTTTATTTAGGGGGGTTTTCTATGTCTTTTGACCTTGTAGCTACATTAATATAATATTTTTTCAGCTTTTCCTTGCCACGGTGGGTGTCAGAAATTTATTGTTGCGTTAATGGTACTTGAAAGGTTCATGATTTCTGAGGAAAGAATATAGAAAACTGACAAAGTTTGAAAGTCTGATACTGAAGACAAGAGTTAACTGTATTGTAAAATATAGGCAGATTACAAAAATAGTAAATTAAAGCTCTCAAAACTTACAGTGCTGTTTGCAATTAATACACAAGACCTAGGGCTAAATATGAACAGAAGGAGGAATGGGTTATGGTAATGTATTGCTGTCCCATGATGGCAGAGCTCTGAGGCTCTCCCAGTAGATGATTTTACCAGAAGTATTTGTAGTATGTACACTGGCAAATCAATTAATTACAACATTTTCTCAAAAGCAGGTTAAATACAAAAAAAAAGGGGAAAACAAAAAAATTTAGAAAAATTGTTGACTTTAGGAACTATTTTAAACTTAATCCTTGACTCATGAGACCTGGGCATATGACTGTTTTAGATGTTTTTTACTTATTCCCTGCGTCTGCTACCACATTACGTATAGTAAGTGAAATCCTGCGTGCTGCAACGACTGTAAAACCCCGGCAAGCGCCCGCCTGGCAGCAGGATCCGCGCTCGGTACCAGCTGGCCGGGCTTCCGCCCTCCGCGGGAGCGCGATTCTTTCTTAGCTCTTAGTGTGTGTGACAGCTCCAAAACTTTCTCAGTCCCCATGTGTACAGCACCCAGCGCAGCGGGGAGCACGGTTTGTGTGGCTCTTGGAGGGATCTAAGTTTTTAAACACACGTATCTGTACCCCTGTGAGCGAACACACCAGCAGCTGCCTGCCCCAGAGACGCGGCCAGCGCCCGGGCTCTGCCGGGCGTCGCTCCTGCCCTCCGCACGTCGGGCTCTGGGAGCAGCAGCCGCCCAGCAGCGCGGCAGCTCCAGCTGCGCGTAACGCGCAGGAAAGCGTCTTTCACCTCC